AGCCTATTAAACTAATTATGCCCCCTTTCTTTTTTTCTCTCTCTCTCTCTCTCTCTCTCTCTCTCTCTCTCTCTCTCTCTCTCTCTCTTCTTTTCACTCCTATAAATTGTTTAGGACTTAGCATTTGTTATTAGGAATTTGCATTTGTTATTGAATGACCCTCAGTGTGACCATTTCACCCATCTGAACAGATTATGTTGTTGTCTTCTCTAGCTACTACAGTTTCTTCCAATGGTTCTTTTCTATGTGTTCCCTCCAATACATGGCTGACTGTCGAGCAGAGGTGTGATGGGACACCAGATTGTAGCAACTACATAGATGAGTCTGTCTGTTCAGGTAATGCTATCCTGCCTACAGTATGTATGAATATAAAAGATACCATACACATTAAAGTCAATGTCCAGCCAAAACATTTTTTTTAGAATAGGATAGAAATGTTCCATTACGAACATTCGTTATATTGAAGTTAAAAAGCAAAGTACATTTATATTGGAGTTGATGGTAGTTTTTTTTTAAAGTCCGAAATACGGAATTCGGATACGGAATCCGTTAACGGAATTCGTATTTCGGATAAAAAAACAACTACCTCATCGACTCCAATATTAACAAAGGTATTTTTGCTTTTTAACTTCATCATAACGAATGTTCGTAAAGTTACGAAAATGTGCCGAAACTAATGAAAATATGTATTTCGTACGAATCCGAATTGAGTTTCGGATACGAATTACGAAATAATGGATATTACGAAACGGAACGAAACGGAACAAATTTTTTGACGGCGCACAAGTCTAGTCCCTGTGTGTTGTAAAGTAGTCACCGCTCCAAGCTTGCTCCTATGATGGACTACAATCTAAATACAAATTAGTAAACTAAACCTGAGATTGTAGTCCATCGCGGTAGTGAGCTTGGAGTGGTAGCTACTTTACAACACACACAGGGACCATGGGGAACAAAAGTATCCACCCTCCAGAAGGAAGGACAGTGTCAGTATGAATTCAAAGATGATTTGAGAATCTAAAGCCCAGTGATACACAAATAAGATACATTTTTATTAATAGTTAAGGTACTTGAATGCATTTTTAAGATTTAACGCCAGAGTTTATTGTCACTTTTATGTACCCAGGTACATTTTTAAATGAAAAGGTTTATTGTTGGTAATAAATGACATTGGGATCCTTTTAGGGTTGGAATGGGCTTTGTTTGTCCTTGATAATAAGGTTATTGTTGCAGCATATTTACGGTATTTGTAATAGAAGGCGTTCACTTGGATTTCTGGGGCTCTGTTGTAGTCCCAAACAGCAAATGTTTGTGAATTTGTTGGGTCCTTCAGGCTTGTCAGCAGTTGGTTTGGCTGCTGCTTTAATTTCTACATCTACTATGGAAAAGTTACATGTCTTTGATTTCTGCACAGAACACGTGTTTTCCCACACATAAGTGTAAAAGGGGCCTAATATTTAACCTAAGTCAACTACACTTACCTTCTTCTCTAAAAGTTGACTTTAACCCTAAAACCAATGCTAAGCCTTTCCTAATTCCTTATCTTAACAATAACCTAATATAACCTCTGTTCTAAGCCCTAATGCTAAACTAAATTATTGATCTGTATACCCACTTAGTTCTATGTGGGTGTAGCAATGTTGATTCCTGGCACTGAGCTCTTAGAAGCAGTAATTACTGGCGTGCGCAAGTGCAGACATTTGAATTTTTAAATTAAATAAAGAACTGTACTATCTTACATCAGACATTGGTGATCTAAAATCATTTTCTTTGTTTATTTTTTAGAATGCCCTTATAGATATTGCAGAAATGGAGGAAAATGTGTTATTGAAAATGAGGTTCCTTTATGCAGGTAATTGTAAACGTTTACAGTATTTTGATTTATTTTATGAAGATTGTCAGCCCTGACGGGCAAGGCCCTCCTTACCATCTTGTCTTGAATTGTATTGTGGTTGTAATGTCTTCCTTATATTGTAAAGTGCTGCGCAAACTGTTGATGCTATATAAATCCGGTAAAATAATAATATAATAATGAAGAAGAATTGATTGACTTTGAAAGGTTTGCAAGGATTGCAAGGTGAAAATGCAAGGTCAAAATCATCTATAGATCCAGAGATATATATTGTCAGCTGAAGCGGAATGCAGATCCTAACATTTTCTGTAAAGGTTTAGCTTAGCTTGGTCCTTTCCTACCTACCAAACTTCCCTATTGGACAGTGAATCTGCCCATCATATTGCTTGACACACTAATAAGCCTCAAAGCATTAAAGGCAGAGCCCAGCCGGACTTTATTAATTATGTAAAAAAAACACAGGATCAGCACTATGGACAGAGGTAAAGTATATCTAAAGCCTTTTTTGTTTCATTTTGGATAGAGTAGAGAAGTGTTAGAACATCTGTCAGGTTTTGCTCACTGCCTGTGTCTCTGCTAGGGAGATATATAGGTGTCTTGCTGCACTCCTTGAAATCCTGGTGGGTGCTGGTAGTGACCACACATGGCGCCGTGAAGATATACAAGTTTGCAAAAAGATGTCACCAGCACACCATTTAAGTGAAATCAACAAAAGTCAGTTTATTGATGGAGTACTGTCATTCCAGTACATTCTGCTAGGGAGATACCACCTTTGATCTGTTGGCCTTTGTCACTCAGACAGTGGGATTAAAAACCAAATTTTGAACTGTCACATGATCAGGAATAGAGGGGATTTTTCTAAATGGGGACATCTGTTGCAATGAAAACCAATAGAGATTTCCTCTCACTTTCTGTTGTGTCTATGGGGCAGACTATGAAGGGAAATCAATAGGTCCATCTGAATGATTCCTGAAGGAAACTAAGCCTAAGAAAAACACAGGGGCTGCCATTGCTCTGCACTATGCACATGCTAGTAGCTTGGCTATTATTCCAAACTTCTTGTGTAAATAACTATGACTAAAGAACCATCAGACCATTATGTCCGACTTGACTCTGACTTTTCTCATTTGCATGCTTGTTTCAGGTCATAGGTTCTTCTAACTGAAATCAGTAGGCAATATAACAGCTAAGCAACTATCATTTTCAGAAGCAATGGCAACAATGATTCATTGGTTAACAATGAATGTTGCAGAATGCCAGTGGATGTTCCTGATATCCCTGGGGGGTTGTGATTACGCTACATTGTATTTTCCTTTTTAAAATACAATGATTCATGACTTCAGACTGGCATATGTACTAAATAAAGGCTTTTGGCTAATAGCTTAATGTGACATTCACCAGTTCATGAACTGCATGAATAGTACAGTATCCAACAGACTGCAGAACAAGTCAAATACAGATGTTGGCGAATGCCATGGAATGTATGCCAAATGTCATGCTCACAGCTTTGTAATAAGCCCCCAGAGCTTGTGTGCTCGGTATGTTCCCCAGCACACAGCATGTTCCCCAGAGCATTGTGTGCCTTCAGCTCAATATTTGTCCTATGCTATTTTGCTGGGTCCAGCACATTCATAGATGGATGTAGAGCTTCTTAATTCTCCACATTTTGATATTATTTTACAATCTATTTTTACCTGCACAATGTAGTCATTAATCACTCAGCAATGGCCTGTCGGAGCTGCTGTATGTGATTTCATCTGCTCGATTTCTCAAATCCCAGGTGGAAATGTTACCACTTATGGAACTGAACAGATTAGGCCTCAAGAGGGCTGCATTGAAATAGATGGTTTAGAAAACATAAACGCCCTCATTTTAAAATAATGTGCCCTATTTCCTCAATAATACCCCTTGCATCTAGACTGTATGTGTATAGATGGATTGTTAGAAACCTATTATGACACATTGACATGTATATGGCAGAACTCCGGGCAAACTCCTTAATATGAAATTGAAATACGAAAATGTTTATTGTTTAACCTGACTTACACCTGCATATAAATTCTTCCCCACTGCCGAGCAAGGAGGGGACACAATTATTTCCTAGTTCAGCAATTTAGCTTCCTATTATACCTCTCTTTCCTTAGGCTTTAATTTAGTTTTGGGTGGAAAACACTTGAACACCAAGTATGTGTAAGAAACTACTGAACTCCTACCTGGAAGATCCTTCTCTGTCTGCACCTTGATGGTCTGCTGCCTCAGTCATGTGTAACATCATTGGGGGATTATCTGGGCTGACAGTCGCCAATAGGATGAACTGTGACAGGAGATTCTATGCTGTTGTAGGGATGTACCCCTAAAACCCCCTGGATTAGTGCAGTGTAATTTTCGGGCTATGTGAAGTAACTATTTTTCACTAGTAGGGTGTGCCCATTGGTCACTTATGTTGTCTCATCCACCAGACTTTGCTGTGACAATATATGGCTGTGGTTTTGTAATAAGCCAATCATTGCAGAGAGCTTCATTAGTGGGAGGGGTTGGCTATAACAAAACCCCTGAGCATGCTCAGTACTGGGTTCTTTCTGATCACCACTCCCCAGTCGGGATTTGCTGCTCAAGGTGCTGGGCTCCTGCCCAGGCCTGAGGACTTAGGCCCTCAAGGCCTATCCTCAAGGCCTTCTATGTACAATTGGATTCTACTGGATACTGAAAAAGGACCTTACCCATGCTGACTGGATCCATGGGGACACTGGAGCAACCCCCGACCCTCCATCGGTCCAAGCTGCAGTCAAGACCTGACATAGATCACACACTGGAACCTCTGTGGGAATGAATTCACTTCTGACCTAGCTTAACCTTCCATACAGGGACTGTCAGCCAGAATTTACTACCATTTTGGGGTTTTCCAGACTTTCCTTTCTTTAGTTTACCTATTCTAAATAAATACTCAAAAAGGCATCCATGGACTTTGATCTGTCACATCACTGCAAGAGAATCTGTTAGTAACATGCCTGGGGACAATGGCATCCTCTTGTAGGGGTTCCACTTGCTATGCACAAGGCCCTGCTGGGTGGAGGCACTGTCATTATAGATACAGTATATTGATGTCCCATTCTCTAACTTTGCGGAGGCTCAAGATCTTATGGTCACCTACAGGTTGGCAGTGGTAGCTAGTTGGAGAGGGTCATCTCACATGACCCCCCTGAAACAGGGCTACACTTATGCTGCTGTATGAACCTGTTTTCTTTGAATTCCCTTTATTAATAAAAGGGAAGAAATTCAGAGACTGAATTGCATGATATTGAAGACATGTAAGATTTGTTTGCTATTTAATGAAGGGCAATTCCAGTTAAGTTAATAAGGAAAGGTCGGTAAACCCCAAGGACTATCCAGAAAATGGCAGAACGTTCATTCATTGCATATCATTGCAACTCAAGGAACCATAGAAAACCTGTACTGAGAGAAACATGGAAGAGCTATCTGGGGAGTGCTGCTCAGAGGGTTCAATTAACCCTAGAAGCAGCAGATGTGAGGCTTGCGTCATTTTTTACTGTAGTTGTCAACAAGGAAGGCATTCAAATTTGCATAAATAAATATATATATATATATACTTTTATATATATATATATACTGTATATATGTCAATGCACTCAAAATTACATATGATTCACTAGAGATTGTAGCTTATCTGTTCACTAGAAATAGGTTATATCAATGAGGATGCAGCCTATCCCTCCCCTAGAGAGGTGACATATTTGATAATGCCTATCCATTCACTACCGACTGGTAACATATTTGGGAATGTAGCCTATCCATTCACTACAGACTGGTGACATCACTGAGAATGCAGCCTACCCATGCACTACAGACTGGTGACATCGCTGAGAATGCAGCCTACCCATTCGCTACAGACTGGTGACATCACTGAGAATGCAGCCTACCCATCCACTACAGACTGGTGACATCACTGAGAATGCAGCCTATCCATTCACTACCGACTGGTGACATCACTGAGAATGCAGCCTATCCATTCACTAGAGACAGGTGATATTAATGGAGCTTAACCATTGGCTAGAGACCGGTGACATCATTGACAATGCAGCCTATCCATTCATTAGAGACAGGTGATAATAATGAGAATGCAGCCTATCCATTCACTAGAGACAGGTGATATTAATGAGAATGGAGCTTAACCATTGGCTAGAGACCGGTGACATCATTGACAATGCAGTCTATCCATTCATTAGAGACAGGTGATAATAGTGAGAATGCAGCCTATTCCATCACTATGAACGATGTAGCATCACTGTGAATGCAGCCTATCCATTGAAAAGAGAGGCATCACTGAGAATGAGGTATATGCATTCACTGGGGGGCAGTGAAATATAGCTTATCCATTCAGCAGAGACTGTTTAATTCTGATATAATTTAAGAAAATAACTTTTTTTGCCATGACCTAACTATTACTCCAAGCCAGAGTGTCATCACATGGGAGGTGGGAGTGGGATCATAGCAGAGCGTAAAACTTACAGTAGTGAGAGGTGTTGAGTATAGGCAACTAGGGGTATACATTTACATTATTTATGTCTATATACCAAGTCTAGAATCTGCATTTAAAGTTCCTTATGTGCTCATAGAGTAGGCTCCTCCCTCACCATCCAGACTTCTGACCAGGATACCTCCCATTCCCACCTATTAGAATTCTCACATGACATGAAGCACATCACTACTGGGTCCTACACCTTATGTACCCATTATGTGAGGTTCCCGCTCTCCCTTCTCTTTTATTTGTTTTATATTATGAAGAATGCAACACGAGCTGCTGTACTATACCTTAAAGGAACCATATGGGTTGAGTGAATATCACTCAACCTCATAGTTCGAGACGACGTGTGGCAATGAAACTCTCTTTACTCTCAGGTGGGCATCATGGTGGTCTGAGGTCTAGCAAATTTCTGATCTTTAATTAAATTTGACTTCTTGGTGCCTTGGTAGTCTTTTTGACCA